TTTTTTTGAAAAAGCACAGTCTTAAGAAAGACTTATGTACTGCAGAAAGTAACTACTTGCAGCAGACTTTCCACGTTTCAGCTTCAGCTGCCTTGACTATCACATGCACATGTCACAGCAGTAATATTGTGAAACCACTTCCCTCTGCACACTCCTCTCATAAAAGATCCAAATGTATAGCTCCATAAAATCTGTCATGAAGAAGGAAAAAGCAAACCCCAAGCAATCCCTAAACTTGCCTGGACTGGTAGTAACAATCCTTTTCACCACCTCACATGTAGCTTCATCTCTTTTTTTTTTTTTTTTTTTTTTTTACATCTCTAAGAACAATGTGAAAGACACTGTGGGCATTGATAAATCCACTTGGAAAATAAACACCCCAGGGCAGTTCTGTCTCTAGTGATTGTTCAGGTGCCTTCCAGACAACAGAAGCTACTAGGCAAACAACACAAGCTGGCACGGAAGAGGTTGCATGAAGGTTCAGCTAGTGTGACCTCGAGATTCCCGAGGTGAGGAGGGTGTGGACGTGTTGGCAGGCTGGGAGAGCTCTGCCTCCAGCACTATGCCACAAATTACCCTCTGAAGGATGCTGACTCGGGCAGATCAAGGAAACGTGCAGTCTGTCCTACATTACACCTGGCTGTTACTTATCAACACCTCAGCCCCGTGCAGGAGTTTAAGTCACTCCTGGGTGCTTAGAGGGTTGTTTCACATCTGTATCAACAGAAGAAAAACTCTGCTTTGTGAGGGCCCAGCAAAAGCTCTCAGCAGACACCTGTCCTGATAACAGCACCAGCTGTTATTTTTTTACTACTGGCACTTTTAAACCACCCTGTTATCAGCTGCTGCATATTGCTGTAGTAAAGGTGATGCTCTTCCAGAGCCTGCTGTTTGGTCATGTCATGCAAAGAGATCATTCTGAAAAAAAGCAATATACGGAGATCAGAAATAAAACTCTGATCAGTGCAATAGGACTACAGCTATTTGGTTTTATGTTATTAGATCTGTCATTAAAGGAGACTGCTGGCACAGACACAGACTTTTTAATGCTTTTCAGTTTTCAGTGTGAGCAAATATTTAATTTTTTTTCCAGGGTTATGTGTTGGTTTTGAAGAAAAAAGTCAACTTTCTAGATATAGTTCCTGGGATACCTCAATTTTGTGCTCTAGAAGGGTCAGAAACACAGCTCCACAGAGCCACAGTTCCTGCTCAGAAATACTAATTAAAAGCACCTTTGCTTTACAATCCCTAAGCTGATTATAGGTTTCATCAAAAAAATGCATGTGTGTGCTAGCAGCTTCCTAGTACTGAATGTGCTGATAACACTTCACCACATAATGCAGTTAAGCCTAAATTACATTCTATACAGAACAATTAAGGTAACACAAGTTTATTTTATTGGAACTATAAACAGAAGATCAAGTCATGCAATAGTTTTATTAGTTATTTTTATTTAAAAAGTAACAGTCTCCAAAAAGTTGAGTATAGTTGAGTGAGGAAAAAATCCAGAAACATAAAACCAGTTCAACAAATCTGTAGTTTAATAAGTCAGTGCCAGATGGTTCATGTACTAGGATCACTGTGAATACACAGAGACCTTTTACTCAATTGATATACACACCACAAACGCAATTCCAATCTAAAACTGATTACAAAAGCAGAGAAAGGGGGGAAAAGACATAAGAGCCATCCACCTTACGAGTTTCTTTCAGTCTTGCTTTCAAACACATCCTTAGGTAATCCCACATCATTAGTCACTGAAACTAAGAAATTATTTAAATCCCAGTTTATTTTTAGGGATATACTGTCTGAAGAGGACACCAATTTTACCGCCATTCTGACACAGCTTAAGCAACACATTCTTCAAGGCCATGCCTGTGTTTTTCCTTAGTATTTCCATATTTACCAGTGCAAGTCCCCACAAAATTATGCAAAGTGTGGTAAAAGCTCTTTTTATCTCTGGAAAGGGAAGAATGGGAGGGATATTGGTGGTCTGCACTCAAGTGATACCACCTATACCACCGATGAAAGTAAAATGAGTTAAAATAGGACTTGTGCTGGGACTTACACTACATTTACAAATTAACTCAGCTAATGTGAATCTCAGGAAGGAATAATACTTATTTTGACTTTTCATGTATTTTAGTTTCAACTAAATGTATTTTAGTGTACATTTAATGTATTTGAGTTTAAACAGATTCCTAACCAAATTAAGATTACAAAGATCTTTAATTGTGCTAATGGGGTTTTGCTACTGACAGCCTTTAACAGGGGCGCAGAAGCTCTCTGAGAAGGAGGGACAGTGGCTAAGCTGAGCCATTTTCACAAATGAATGGCAAAAATATTCATGCAGGATGGAAAAGGTAGGGTTAAGACAACCTCTCCTCCAAAAAAAAAATGATAGAAATAAAGGAAAGTAGAAAAAACATAAAGTAGATTCCTTATAAGGAGAGCCTGGTACTAGTTTGTAGAGGACTGAATGCGTGGCTGTGCTGTGACAGAATGTTCACAAACCACTGTACACTGCAAAGATCTTAGCACTGACCAACTCAGAACTACTCATGAATCACTGATGCTTCTTGCTGCTTGGTGTTCTGCCTTTTCTTCTCAGTGTTACTGTCCTTATGACTTAGTATCAAGTACAAGTGTTTTTTTGGTTGGTGGATTTCTTCTGACAAATTTTTTTACTGCCTGTACAAGGTGTCAGTCTTTGGATTTATTTCTAACCTCTCCTGTATTTGCTATGGACTATTACAAAGCAAGAGTCAGTCAGTCAGGATGGACAGCACTCCTGTTGCCAACCATGAGACCAAAATTAGGAATTTAGTTTTCTTCTGGCTGTATCTGCCTGTCTACTACAAATTTTACAAGAACAGCTGATAGACATTTCTATCAAACCATATAATTTAAGATGAAATTATCTAAATTGACCAATTGTTTTATCTGAAACATTTTAGTTTAGGGAAAAAGGATATTAGACTTTTCATTGTCAAATTTGTTACATGTGTGAGTAATAAAGACCAAGAAGTTGATCCAAGAATTTACAATTTAAATAGCTGAGATTAATCTTAAGAAGATTTATGAGAAAGCTGATTTGGAATGCTATATTATATAAATTAATAGTGACAGATTTTTATGGGTAGTACACTTAGGAAATGACTACAAAATAAAACTTGGAGGTCATTTTATTCAAAGTTAAGCAGTATAATTCAAATAAATTATTCCGTTATTTACTGGGAATCAGATGTTCACATGCTATAACCTATTTAAGTATTTGTATTTTAGTCTATAGTACTTGGCAACTAGTTTCTTCATAAAGGGGCTCATAACGTCAGGGGTGAAGAGTGATAATATAACATGTTACCAGTGATCTGCGGTCAATAGGTAAATAGTTTTGATGATAAATAGTGCAATTTGTAGTCAGACCCGATTATCAGTGTTTGTATCAAACATACCAGTTTTTCTATCAGACATAGTTTTCCTAGATAAGATGCTGTTAAAAATGTGCATGTCAGGACACTAAGCAAGGAAAAGACCTCAAGAAATTGTGTTTTCTAGTTTATATACTAAATCCAGCTATATAGCATTTGAAAATGAAATCTTAAACATTTTGAGTCACAGGTGCTCAGTATTTCTGAAAATAAAATCAGTTTAATTTTCCATAAAATAATCATAACTTGGAACTTTTCCATTATGAAGTAAGTTTAACATTTTACAGAGCAACTATACAAATGTAATTTATACCTGAAACAACCTGCCACCCAGGTACTGCTGAACTAGTTTTGAAGAAAAAAAATTGTATAATCTTTGTTTACGGAACTTCTATATTCAAATCTCTTTAAAAGCCCAAGAAGTTAGAACAATGCAATAGAATGGCAATGTTTATAAACCATTGTACTCTGACTGTTCCATAATGTTAACTTGAAATAATTAAGTTTTTGTACAGAGTTTCCATTTCCTTACACTGAGAGGACTCTGAGGGAAGCACTTAGTTTGTAAAGTGTGAGTTATGACCTGCCATTAAATTACTTGATAACACATTATTCTCTATGATGATACATCATTTTTATGGAACTTGGAAATATTTAAAGGAGTTTGTACCTTTATAGATATACAGGTGTTATGCAACATTCTTTACATATAAACACTACTTTGTACCTGCTAAAAACGAATCCACAGACTGAAGAGGAATTCAACATTTAAGACATTTACATACCTTTTTCAAGCATACCTAAAGGATTTCATAAGTTCAGCAGATTTTAGCATTTGAATGATATGCTGTCAATGCTTTGACTCAGAGTCAGTAACTGTGGTTTCAGCCTAGGTGTAAGGTAGACACAGTTTGAGATTCAGTTAAAGGCATTGAAATAAAATTACACATCTGAGCATAATCACTGAGTTTGAATTAGTTTTGAAAGCTCAGTTTAGAATTGTAAGTTTACACTCACAGGTGTGAGTTGAGCACCATGGGCAGCCTTGTTCTTTTATCAAAGAAATGTATTTAGCAATGGTCATGAAGATGTGGCAACATGGGCCTTCAGCTGGCCACAGAGACACTTGGACTAGAGGAACCTATAGGATTTGTGGATCTGCCCTGGTAACACAGCTCCTGCTGACTACATCAGATGGAGCTCAGGCATGCTCACTCACACTGACTGCACATCTTCTAATTACACTGTAACATGATCAACTTCACTTAAAGATTAAATAATATCTTTCCACTTCCTCTAAGTGAATAATGATTAATTCATTTTAAGTCCAAAAGTCTTCAACAAATAAATAAAAGCAAGTTGACTTTTATTATGGAAGTACTTTATTTCAAAAACTAAAGATTTCACAAGATGAACTCTTGTACAAGTATTAAAAATGTAGAAACAATTCTCCTGAATTTATGAATATGTAACTTGCATTTTCGTAGAAATTTTTTTCATAGCTTATTTTTTCATTGAATCCAAACTAGGCGTGTTTGCTTACAACCATATGGAAGCTCTTGAGTTAGCTCACAGCTGAAAAATGTGGTTTTACTTGGGACATATTGTATACTGAGTGATTGAATCTAAGATAAATTTTAAAAAAAAGTAGGATTATTTAAGATAAAATGAAAAGAAACAGAGGATAAAGCAATCACGTACTTCAGAGCAATTTCTGTTATAAAACAGTTTGGTGGGGCTGAGAACCCAGCAAGAGAAAACGAACGCAAACAGTGAAATGATAATAGTGCAAGCACTTACCATTTATTAAGTTTTAAAAACCTATACGCTTTTTATTCTGGTCAACCTTAAGTGAATCACTTGGCAGCTGGTATTAACAGCAGAAAGCAGATAGCCACAAACCAACTGGATTGCAACAGTGAAGTGTCAAAGATTAGAAAAAACTTGAGATCTGATTTATTTGATTAAGACAGCAATTTATAGGTGACATTGTTCATCCTATTGTGTACACAGATGCTGAGGAAGGGGCAGACCTTCAAAGGCCTGTATCATTCCTTTAAAGCATCATACAGAAATGCTTCTTTTTTCTGAGCTTTGATGATTCATCATTTAAAACCCATTGCTGGATCTTGTATAACCGTGTCTTGTGAGTGGGATATAGCAATTAGAAAAGGCACCATCAGACTGCAAAAGTGAACTGAGAAATTTGTAAAGGCCACAAAGAATTCAGAGTAATTTTTCTTTAGCAGATGGACATGCAACTCCTTCAGTCAACTGATAAGCTGAAGGTGGCCTGTCCAGCTGCAGGCAGCTCATGAGATCTTGGACCTGCGGTGAGGCAGAACTTCATGAAACCAGTAGAAGAGAGGGGCATACCACATGAATCACATGGAACTTTTGGCCATTACATTTGTCCACCTGGAATTTATGACTGGAGTACTACTACAGGAAACTTTTGTGCTTAATTTACTCTTATTTTTAGTCCTGCAGAAACCTCTGGTTTCCTCATCTGGTCACTTTCTTTTGCCACACTTGCTCTTAAAGTCTTTGAAGCCAGAGAAGGGCACAATAAACAGCACCACCTTCTTATGGCTCTCTCGCCAATCTTCACAATTTTATCTTATACCTTAAGTAAGCGTGAAATAAAATTTACATTTATATGAGTGTTTTTTCCCTTATAGATCACTTTTCCTTTCTTCTTTAGTGGTATTTTCTTTCAGGTTTTAAGTTATATGATCTTATTTTTTCTCATATGAAGAAGGTCCCTTTTTGAAAAACACTCTTGTCTGAAAAAAAGAGACTGTCAGACTGTGTCGTGAATGAGTCGGAAAAGCGATAGACTAACAACTCTCAGAAACTTAACAGCAGATTTTAAAAAGAAACTTTTTGAAATGAAATACAGACTTCAGAAAATTGTCTTTCAGATGTGCAGTACAGGATTCAGGACAGATTATCACAGGGTGCCAGTTACTATATTTCAGTAGTGCTATGCCAATTTATACCACTTACAGACCTTTCTTACTACACCTAAAATTGAAATACATGCCATTTTAGAAAGTACTCTTAGCTGTAAGAGAAAGTCCTGACCATGGAGAGAACTTTCCTGAAACTGCTGTAGCAGTTGGTTCTATTTTCTTCCCTCTATAACCTCAATTCAGTGACCTATTTATGATAAATTTTTGAATACATATTCTGCAATATTTTACATAAGTTGAAACTTAGTGTCTTACCTAATACACATGTTTATGATAAATATATTATTTCCTGGTACTTCTTTCCTTGGTTTTTTTCTTATAAAGATTTTTGCCTGATGTGAGGCTTTATGTATTTTCCCCCCTGACAGCTGTATAAGTTCAATGAGCTTTTTGCAGGGTGGTTGACTGGTAGGAGGTATAAACATGACAGGCTGGTTTGAAAAAAGATTCTGCTAGTATTTTCCTGTTGATAGGTGACACTGAAGTCTGCAGATCTGTATTTGAGGAAACAAGAAAATTTATAAACCAATGTGTTACATTTTCGCTCAAAGTAAAACTAATCCTTGGTTTCTCTAGTTCAGAAAAAAAGTAGTATAATATATGAGTAGGAACTTTACTTTTTCAAGTGTATCAGAAATTCTTGCATAAAATATACAAAGAATTTGCTCTACTGGATTGATACAATTCCAAAATCAGAGTTTGAGACTATTTCATTACAGGTCAGACAGTTTAAGTATAAAACTTCTTAAAGCACTTGACAGTATTATTTTTCACCATAGTCTTACATTCTTATGCTTATAGCACTGGCCATCACACAGAAATATTAAAGGATATTATAAATTATGCAATAGTCTTGCAGCACAAATACAAACCGTGATAGCCTTTATAATACATAGTGCTCATCGGTTCATATTGGTGAGCTTTACAAATGGATCTAATTCAGAGCTTAAACTACTTTAGGACCTCTTTTCCCCTCCTGTGCTCCACAGATACCAACTGTTTTTTCTCTCAGATGTATAAAGTGACACAAATGTACCAGCACTCAGAACAAAACATTTAATGTAGACCCTTTTGTCTCCAAAACACGAAAAAAGTTCTCTATGAATGCTGTGCAGCTTGTAACATTTGATCACTATAATAAAAGCCTGCTTGATCTATATAAGGCAAATTTTCTTCTCTGTATATACCAGGCAGGATAGTGCTTCAGCAGTTAAAGCCATCTCCTTTAGCCATAATGTGCATAAAAGCAGTGCATACAGCAAATGTACATGCCATGGTATGCAATATAAAGTTTTCATACCAAAATTTAAAAAAAAGCAAGTTTGTATTTCTTAGAGCGAGGCTGCCATTGACCTGCTATAGCAACATATGTAACAGGTCTGATTCTGTATCGCTTGTCAAAGTTTCGAAAACTTATAGAATCACACAATATTCAGAGTTGGAAGGGATCCACAAGGATCTTGAAGTCCAACTCCCCAGTGAATGGCCCACACAGGGATTGAACCCACAACCTTGGCATTATTAGCACCAGACTCTAACCTACTGAGCCAGTCTCAGGGGCTGAGACTGGAGTTAATAGTAAGATGACAACAAAAAGAAATGTTTCATATTATGTAATGCTTGGAATTTTTCATACAGATGACCAACATGAGCATAGAGGAAAGGTCACTTTGCATATGTCTGGTTTATATGAGACATCTGAATGTGAAACTGTAGTCAGTGAGAAGGTGTAACTGGAACAGTGGAAGAAATTACCTGTTGGGTGGATTCCTTACTCCAATCCTGACACAAACATGCTGTGAAACCACAGGCTCTTTGGAAGCCAATGTGATAACATATATGCTGGGCAGCCAAAATGAGTCTGGTTTACAGGGGTTTGTAAAGCCAAACAGTTCCATGGCATGTTCACAGATAAAAGTGAATTGCCTTAGCACTTCTGATCAATTAGCTAGAGCTAGAGCAAGCACCTGCAAAGTGTGAAGCCCATGCTAACACGAGACTTTGTAGCTCAAGTGGCTCTGTGTCACTGGCCTCTACTATTCTGGGACATGTCAATCCTCATCTGAATTTTGAGATCTTCCTCAATAAATAATTCAGCTTTTTCTGATCATTAATTCCTTGTTTGACCTACTGAGAATAAAATTAGGTTGATTCTTTGGGTTCTGAGTTCAGTAAGTTATAAAGACAGTGACTGCTATGGTTGAAGCAGGCCAAAGAGACTCAATCACAATCCAAGAAATACCCTATATTTTTTTATTTTCTATTCCTCTGTGAACTTAAGCTTATGAATGTCATGGCACCTAATCCCTGTCTAATGGAAGTCAAAGAGTTGCCAAATAATTTTGTTGATCACAGTATCAATGAAGAGTTATACTGCAGATTTTGGAGGACCCAAACTCATTGAATCTATCCAATGGCCCTTCCTGTAAATTGGCACCCAGTGCCTTACACACATGCAGAAGATCTGGTTTTGGACTCAGTGGAGTACTGCCTACTTCCATCTGAGCAGAATGATCTTCTGTGAATCCCTGTCTGCTGGGCATCTTGATGTCACAAAGACCAGAAAATTATCAATTGTACTGTTTTAATATATAGTATCAGATTTAGAATTCACTTGCTGATGGATCTTGTGACGCTTAGAGGCCATGATCACTCTCTTAAAAGGGGACTAGGTCAGGAACATAAAACACTCTGCAATCTCCAATGTACAGAGCAGTGTGATTTTGGTATTACTAGGACTGCAATCATAAAATTTTATCAATTTAAAAACTGTGCAATTGTGAAACTATTAAAGTGCTTGTGATAAGCAAGGTCAACTAATTAAAGAGCGCAAAATAACAAGAGTGAAAAATAACAAGCTCTCTGGAACTGTTTATTGGCACAAATCAGATGGAATTGATAGAAAAAGGAAAATTACCAAGAGACTATAATACTAGTTTGTCTAAAAAAAAATCAGATTTAACTAAAAACGACAGAAGTCACACTGATTTTGTCAACCTGGAACTCTAAGATTTTAAAGATGAAAATTATTAAGATTGAGAAGCTTTTAACTTAAGAATGGAATTGGACTTGTGTTAGATAGAAGACACTAAATATAAATTGTTGTGACCTGCTATTTCACATATTTTAGGGAAAATGATTTAAAAGGGCTAATTGTATTCCCACTTCCTCAGACATTTTTCCTGAAAAGATTTATTTGCTGCCACTGTAACGAAAACTCATTTATATGATACATCTCCCTATAGAAACAACTGTTGGATGAAATTAATATTAAAGCAAATGTTTATGTAGCTAATCATCAAATAAAGAAATCCAAATTTTAAGGACCCAACAGAGCTCACCTCAGCTGATGTCCGCAAATTTTATTTTATATTCTTTTTTTTAAACATTTAGAACATACTACGAGCACCCAGGGAAGTGAAATGCAGACATGCTTTAGAGAAGGTTTTCTTAAACTGCCTTTACAATTTCATCTGGGTGCATTATCAGTGCATTTGAGAGGAGGACAGAGTAAGAACACAGGACATCTTTGTGGTACCGCCAAAGGAAAGCTTCAACATGCAGTGTCGTATTTATGTTTCCTTTGTTTGGATCACCACCACCACCACCACGTTCCCAGCCGGCTGTGCTTGGATTTGCTCAAGCACATCGGGTCCACTCACAGGCCACAGAGAGAGGGAAAAATCCCAGCCTTTATGTTCAGAGCTCAGAGAGCAGTCTGGAAGGTTAACTTTGCTTTCTGGCCCACTAACCTGAAAGAAACACCTCTGGCCAGTTGCTGAAAGGGCAGCCAGCTGACCACACAGGGTTTGGCGGTGGGATGAGAGGGCACAGCTAAGCTCTTCCCCCTGAATTGACTCAGCTGCCTTCACAACATCAAAGCCTTTGCAGCACTCCAGGGGTGCTCACAGCCCTTTGAAACCACACACATTTCGCGTACACTTTTACAAATAAATAAATAATTCCTTAGCAGAGACCAAGCCTGGGAAAATATCAGACCCCAAAAGGGACTATTTCCACAAATTGTGTATCTATAAGTCAGTAGTTATGGTTACAGTTTTGTCAGTGCCTATTATAACAGACAGCACCAATTTTCCTTTCCAATTATATTCCTTAGCAGATGGACAAAACCCCAAAATATTATAAAAACACCTATTTAATCTTTTTGGTAAGATTCTAAGCATTAACCTCATTCTTTCACTAGCTAGGTGAATGGCAGGAAGACACCTTTTACATGCATGCATTTCTCATAAATGTACCATTAATTTAGTTGTTTGTTTAAATGTATGTTTCAAAAAGGAAAAAAAAAATCACTGTTGACAGAAGTAAAACTTAAGGAGAATGTATGATAAATAAATAAAGCCTTTCTTCCCTGTAAAGAAAAAACCCCACAGAAAACATTTCACCAACTTTTTTCCCTCCTGTGACTGATTTTCAGTCCCCACAAGCCGAATGAACACATACCATAAAAAAACCCAAACTCTGCAGTTTTGTCTAGAACTTTATGAAAATATCTTGTGCTGGGTGAGTTGCCAGAACAAACACAAAACTCCATAAAAGTCCAAGGGTGTGATCTTTTCATGAGGCTCAGGAGATAGCTATCAAGTGCCACAAAGGTATTATCGCTGAATAAATACCTGAATTCATGCAATATGTAAGAGAATAATTATCCTGGATGTAACTGGAAATTTTTAAGCATTGAAACTGCTAATTTCCTATACACAGCACACAATTTTCAGTGTCCAACTTCCAGAAAATAGCACTTGAAGAAATTTCCAGTCTAAATTGGTATTAGAATAATAATATTTCACAAAAGCTACATGATTATGACTTATTAAAATTAATAGAAATTGTATTTGTAGGCTAGAATTGATAATGTGAAGTATTGCCTTCAAAAATATATACAGTGTAGCCATCTTTAATGATTACACATCTGAAAATTTGTGCATGCATTACACAATGTATGCACTATTAATCTTTATTATTAATTTCAATTGTTCACCAGAGATAAATAAATCTACAAAAATAAACTTCTGATTTATTTTATCATAACTATTTGACCATTTAATATAGCATTTACTGAACTTATGGAAAGCTGTAATTATGCCTTGGTTACTGTTACTTGCAAAAATAATAAATATATTCTATTAAATGCAAACAGCAGAAGATAAAATTGCAGACAAGAGTTTGAAGGGAGAAGATTGTATTTCTTGGTTTATATCTATCCAAAGACCAAGTATTATTTCATTTGAAGTTGATGAGAAATCGTCCATTTTCACTAAAAAAGTGATCTGACTGTTGAAGTCTTATGGATTAGTTCATCAGTCTGCAACTAAATGACAGAAACCCATAAAACTGATAAACACCAAAACTCACAAGCTTTACGGTTTCATAATATTCAAATTTATCAAAAAAAGACATATAAAATAGCATATCAATTTAATATAGTTGAGTGGTGTTACTGGGGAAATATTAAGCTCTGAGATTTTAATAT